TTAGAAAATTTAAAAATAATTGATTTAAAAACACTGGTACAAAACGCTTAATAATGTCAATAAATGCAGTTTTTTTTTTTTGTTTCAAATCAAATCATCCTTATAAATTAAATTTTGCATGTATTTTGAAAATGGCCCTTATGATAAAAAAAGCAAGCACCATCCAACTTATGGTTAGGCGAAACGATACAATAATTTGAGCTTGTCAGGCAAATCGGGAAATTTTAATTGGTCAGGCGAAATGGGAACAGGCGAATCGGGCATAAATCAAGTCAAATACATAGGTACATGTGGATAGGTACTTACCATTTCATAAAATTTAATTACAACACAATTAACACAAAATATAAAGCACTCCGTCCAATATTTATAACTATAACTTTGCGTCTTGGTTTTTGATCTTCACGTAGCCGAAGAAAATTTTAACTATTTGGATTACGACGCCTCCTGCAGTTTTATTTATACTCGTGGTCTCGTGGTTCGTAGATGAGTCTTCAAGTGTGGACGGGAAAAATCGACAAGATCTAATATGAAACTTACTCGTCGTACAATATTCGAGTCTGGACAGGAAAAAAGTAGTTCTTAGAGTATTCAAGTCTGGACAGGAAAAATCGACAAGATCTAATTTGAAACTTACTGGTCGTTCGTACAGTATTCGAGTCTGGACAGGAAAAATCGACAAGTTCATACTTTATACGGGTATTCATGGTAGTGCATGTTGCACACAGAATTAACTAACCTATTGATTTTATTATATTTATTATTTAACGCTAATTGAATAGCTATTTGATTTCAAAAATAAATATGTTTTCTGTCACAATAGGAATAGGTCATAAATCAACGAACATAAACTTTGATAATATTATCATGAATTGAGATAAAAACAGTTTTGATTTCTTTAGTGTCTTAGTGCCTTGTTCATTGTAATCCTTATAAAAATTAAAAATTCGAATTGTATACAGACCTCCGGTTTGGCGACCCTTTAGAGGTGCGCTCGCGTGCGGTGCACGCTTTGCACGCGCAGTTACAGGGGCCCTGCCAATAAGAATGAATGCTTCATGTATTATTAAAGTTTAAGTCCTTCCATTATCAATTGCAGAACACAGTTATGTGGGGAATCATCAATATTTAATATATACCCACGGTACTCATACCAAATTAAGGAACGAAAAATAATGTTTACTCCCCTTATACAAAGCGGTAAATAATAAACGAACCATCAGTTGTTTACCAATGAAAACATCCAATCGTAAACTTAAATGCACTGTATTGGCCGAAGGTTTACGGAAGGCAGGTGTTCGAAAATATTCCTGGAAGACAGTCTGCGATATCAGTGGAGTACTGTCGTGCGGTGTGTTTTGTATGTGTGGTTGGTTTAATTTAAATTTCTTTTAATAAATATAAATATGGCGTTCTTTAGACCATGGGCGAATGAAGAAAATGAAATTGCACAGTGTAGTGAGATTAAAGACAGGTATGACTTTAACGATAAGGATTTAGATATACAAACACAACAAGTTATTTTAAATATATTCGAATGTTTAAAAAAGGAAAATATTCAGCAGTCTGATAATGCGGTCATAATAACAATTGCTGAATTAACTAAAGTAAATAAATTTTCTGTTTATCCGGTAGTCACGAAAGGGGTTGCTGTGGATTGTTCAAAAAACCGAAAAACATGTAAAGAAAAACTAAAATCAGTGGACAGAGCTACCCAAGATTTTATACGAAGGACAATTTATAGTTTATATAAGGAGAACAGGGTTCCGACATTGGAAGTAATACAGCAAAAGGTGGCAGATTTTCCAGGATACACTTATACCAGTTTGGAAACATTGCGTCAAGTTTTGTCAGCATGTGGTTGTAAATACAAAAAATTAAATAAACAGATGGCAATCACCGAATCGTCAAGGATAGTTCAATGGCGACAAGATTATTTGCGCAGATAAAAGGCTACAGAAGTTCTAATAGACACATAATTTATCTAGATGAAACATGGTTTGACAGTCACGATGTAGTAAATTTCGGTTGGGTTGGCAGTAGTAAAAATTGCTGTTTGAATGGGCCATGTTCTAAAGGGAAACGCATTATAATAGTACACGCTGGAAGCAAAGACGGTTTCGTGCCTAATGCTTTATTATTATCTGCTAAACAAATTAAAAACTATGCAGCTGATTATCATGAAGATATGACAGCAGAATTATTTGAAAAACGGTTTAATGAACAGCTTTTACCTTACATTCCACCACAGTCAGTAATCGTTATGAACAACGCATCCTACCACTCGCATCAACTCCTTAAAATACCAAATAGTAGCAGTAAAAAAGCTCAAATTTTAGTTTTTATGTCTGAAAAAAATATTCCTATTCCTGCCAGTGATAGTAAAAAAGGACCAACAAACAAATAATTGCTTACTGTTATTAAAGGTATAAAGTTATAAAAAATGTATTATATTGACAAGCTGTGCAAACTCTTCTCAGACTACCTCCTTACTATTGCATATTTAACCCTATTGAGTTAATATTGGCAAACTTAAAATCAGAATTACGAAAATGTAATCAGTCTCCAGAACTGAGTAAAGAAGTTGTAGAACTCGTAAAGAAAGTTCTAGCAGCAGACCGCCAAGAGCTTTGGAAAAATTGTATTGAACATGTTATCAAAGAAGAAGATGAGTATGTAGTATTACCCTCTTTACAACCCATCATAATTCAACCAAATGATGACTCTAGTTCAGAGGATTCAGACTGCCATGAGTATTTATAAAGATACTTTAGAATTGAATTGTTTTTTTCTTTTGTTTTATTTGCAAAGAATTTATTTTCCTTTATGGTTTTTTCTTTGAAATTTCGTTTTCCAGAAAAAAAAAACGAATGGGGTACAAAAAGGGTTCAGTTCACGTCTGGTACCCTGTTTAAACCAAACGCCTTTACAGGCAGGTACACTTTACTCGCTTTTTTACGTTTTATAATTTAATATTCAGTTGTAGCAAGTTAACGAGCTATAATGATTTTTTTTAAGTCCAAGTAAGATTACAATTAAGTGCATCTGTCTAAATAAGGGCGTATAATAACGTCCAATTTATAATTATTCGATTTCCTTTTAACGAATAATTTCTTGCATATGATATATATTAAAAGTATTAATAAAATAAATTTATAAAATGAGGTAGGTATCTACGTCTATGGCAGATCAAACAAAATTGTCGGTAAAGGTTTCGATCTGCAATGCGCTGGTTCAGTGATGATGTATTTATGGTTCCACTGACAATTAAAGTTACAGTAGATTTTTTGAGTGCGTTTTGTTCGTTTTGTTTACCTAAATTATATCGTTTCTTCATTTTTATAAATATATTCTTAAAGTAAGTAGATAACATGCATCAAATATTCAATCGTTTAGTTACCAATTACATACCTTTAAACTATTTTTTATGACCTGTAAACAATATTTAGAAATAAACTAAAAACAGTAAAAACGTATACGTCAAATTTATTGATGTTTATGTTAAAAGTTTGGTTAGAATTAAATGTCAGTGGAACCAAAATGACATCACACTGAACTAGCGCATTGATAATGGAAGAACTATACTTCTCTACAGATCAAAAGAAAGCAGTGGCGTAACGAAGAACAATAATTAAATTAAGAAACAAATTAATATTATACAAAACAATGAATATAAAAACTAAACAGAGGTATTAGAGTAATATGAAAGTGCCATATGGAAATTGATTCCCATAAGATACGTGATATTAAAACTTATACATCCGAGCTGGGCTATAAAATAACCACTAAGTAGGATCGTATTAAAGTCTAAAATTACACGTTTTAAATAAGTTATACAAGCAATTTTTCATTAAAATTTATTGTTATTTCGTAAATCATTGGTAACACAAACTTTTTAAAACCAAAATATCAGGAGCGGTTTCCAAGATATTTTTTATTCCACTTCAGTACGTTTATTTGCAAAAATAGTTGTGCGTATGATAACCTATTTAATTTTAATCCGATGTTTCATAAACACAGGACCACCATCAATTTCTTTATTCGAATACCTATGGACTAGTATTATTCTGACTTATAATTTTAATATATGTTCAATGCTGAATACAATAATGTAAAAACATATCATAATTAGTCAACATTTCGGAAGATTTAAACATCATCAGGTAACTTTACAAGTGCGGACCTGTATTTTGTTACTTAAAATATTGTTAAGAGTGAGATTAGAGGCCTTTTTGACTGACCCTTAAGCCCACTCTTAGCGGTAACCACGAGTTGTATAGAGGGGCCCAATTTGTATTAAAATTGGCCTCTAGGCAACACACGGCTATGGGGTTAAGTTCAGATGGAACCCTAACTTCCTGACGATGTTTCAGAGGACGGGGAAAGGGTTTGCCCTACAGGAACTATTCCCCTTGGCAGTATCCCCCTCTCACAGAGATCGAATTAAGCCTTTGAATGATCGTAAGTTTTCCTAAATCAAAGAGAATTGAAACAAGCGTAAAACAAATAACTGTGGTTTATTTAATAAATAAAGACAATTTATATTGCTTTCGAAATCACGTAGTCTTTGCCGACTACACAATAATTAGATAAAACTACTTAAAACTAGTTACTTACATAAGCATTGTTGGGCTGCAAGGCTGGCGGAAGCAAACGTTACTATTATCACTATGGTTTTTACTAAACACACTAATCGCGACCCGTGACTCTATTTTTTTGACACAAAAAAAGGAATATACTTTATTCAAATAATCTCAACCGCTCGTCAACGTAGACCAAAAGGAACTCCCCGAATATTCCCTTGTAATCTTTCAAGAGTGTTCTTGTTGATCTTTTTTTTGACCCTTTAATAAAACCTTGTCCAACTGCACGTTTTATTATTTTATTGAATATTTGTTTAGCGCGCCTGCCCTTGGACAAAACTTTACAAATCATAACATACCTATTTCACAGGGTGTTATATTTATTCGTAACAATATTTCGATTAGTAAATGATGTATTATCGGTTAAAGAATTATGTATATTCAATAACAAACGTTTTGTGTCATGCTTCATGCGCTTCATACAATATCCATACTGCTGCTGGGATATTTTAATTTTTTTATTTTTTTTTTATAATTATTTGATTTTTTCGAAATTTTTTTAAAGAACACAAATGTTTCATATTAACTGTTTTCTATGCTATTAAAAATTAATTGTTTAAACTCACCTTCTTACTAGAATGTTTATGGTATCTGGCAGGGTACAGCATACATAAATATCTATCCATCGCCATACATATTAATATCACAGCACTTTGTTGACTAATTGCACCTCTGAGTAGTGCCTGAAACAAAATTTCAATTCTAAATCCATAATCCCAAAAATATTCTATATTTGAGAACAACATAAAAGTGCTGGGCATACACAACTAATAATAACTTTTTACTTTGATAAAAAGATCTAGTTTTATGGTAAAAGAAAAATGTATGCTAATTACAGTTAAGAATAATAAGATATTCCTGATAAAAATTGTGAATTCATTAAAGATAGATTTTGTTTTCAAATATTTATTATGGTTCTGGTAATAATATCAAAATCAAAATTTTTATTTACGAAAAAAAGAAAACAATATAACAAACACAAATCTTAAAACAAAATTTAAAAAATGTTAGGTTAGGTTTTACCAACAAATGCTAACATATTCTAGTAGGCAGTTAAGCATTGTTTAAATGATAGACTACCTAAGCCATGACATCATAAGTCGAAAATACATTATAAATGCCATTAAAAAATTTAAATTTGTAAATTGGATATGAATAATAACTGTTTGGTAAATACGTCATTAAAGCGTTTATTGATTATAGTTTTTCTACAATATTAACAAATTTAAAAATAAATCATAAGATACCCAGCTATAGCAACATTTAAGAAAGACAATTAAATGTCATTATTTTTCACCATTTAATAATTTGTAACCTAATAACAAAGTATATTCGTAGATATCGCAATGAGAGCATTTACTATTTCAACGATTCATTTGGGTTTAGAACCAAATTCGGGAATTGTATTAGATAACCTGCGGCGTTGTCAGGTATATTTTGTTTCCTTCACTTAAAGATAACATTGTAACAATGTTCTTTTTTTCCCTAGATTGAATATAAGTGCATCTAATGTGCTATCAACTTTAAAGTGATAAATCAAAACTTGATTAAAAATTGGAATGGATGTAAAAAAGAAGCGCTAGTCTATAGAACAATAAAATCTTGGCTATAAAGCATTTTTAATAGTAGTAAGAAAAGTAGAATGATTTAAAAATTCGAAGCAAATATCAAAAATCTCCCTACGAATTATTAAGACCATCCCGGAATCCCAAAGGTAAAAACACATACAGATTTGATTAAAAGCCTGTCAGCGCCAGGATTCGAACCTAGACATCTTTGTTCTGTACACAAATGACCTAACCACTGGACCATCGCGACACTGACTGTTGAGATTCCCTTCCGATAGTTTGATGTGCTAATTTGGGTCAAGCGCCGTTTTCAGGTTCGTTCTCAAATCTTTAAATAACTCCATACAGCATCGGTGTATTTAGCATTTAGCTGATACTCGCCGAACACAAATCTTCTAATAAATGAGAGCGTCAAGCAATCGTAAAGGATATGGTCGATAGTCTCATCTTCTTATTTGCACCCTCTGCAGAGTGCGGATTCTGGTAGCCCCACTATATAGAGATGCTATCGTACTTGGCAATGACCAGTCAGAATGCCTGTGACTAGCCGCAGATTCTGTCTAGTCATAGTCGAGTATTTGTTTGCTGCAGGTCAGGAAAACTTAAGAGCTTCCTGACAACTCTGCAGTTTCTTTTTTCATCCCATCTTTCCTTGACTTTCACAAGGACATGTTCTTTAATTAGGTCTGCCACTACCGATTTTGTCAGGCCAATAGAAGAGTCAGATCCAAAAAGTATTTGGTTGGCTGCTTTCTTGGCTAGTGAATCAGCAAGACGGTTACCTTTCGATGTGGCGTGACCTTTGATCCATTATAAGGTGACCACATTGTTGATGAATACTTCGGCCAAAGCTTCGTGACATTCTAGTACTAACCCTAAGTAAATTTGTGATTTGAGATAAAGAGTTTTATCCAGGTCCAAAAATGGGATGCTTTCTTGGCTAGCATATCGAGCGCCTCCTGCCAAAAGCGACGTCTCGCCTCACTAGCTCCTACATCAGGTTCTATTCTTACCGTGCGGATGCGTCTCATTGTCGTCAGAGCAACCTGCTTGATGTAAATATCAAGGTGAGTGAGACTAAGAATGACTTACATGGCTTTGGTTGGTGTTGTTTTCATGGCCCCTGTTATGTTAATACATGCATCTAAAATAAAATAGAACAAAACAAAATAAAACACATATCACAGTGTCTCGTCATTAAAAAATTCTGTAATATTATAATAATGCCTAGTTAACAGAAATCTCCTGAGCAGCTTTCTAAAACAATTCTGTGACTCAACATCTGTCAAAGTATGTGATAGCCTATTGTACATTTTGATACCATTGTATATAAAAGAGTCTCTTATTAGTTCAGTTTTGGGAATGAGCAACTTCAAGTTAACCGTTTGGAGAGTTAAGCCCTGGTTTCTCTGAACAGATCGGCCCGAAATATTTCGGTGATCTAGCACGAAAAGTTCGTTGGCGTTTTCGGTGAAACCTAGTGTATGTGTAGTATATAGAGCAGTTTGTATAAAAGATCGGACCGAAATTTCGGAAAGCTGTTCGGTTAGTAGTTCGTTCGAATCAACCTGAGTTTGATTTGAACGATTTTAAACGGCGCAGTTCGCCGAACTTGTTTAGACGGGAATGGTATTTAAAAGTAAAAAGATGTCGGCGGGAAGAAATACCACAAATTAGAATTTTCTGCGCTGGAGGATGAACTATTAATAGAAAAATTAAAAGAAAATCCTCCGTTATATGCTAAAAAGCTACAAGGATCATCATCATCCTATTCTTCTTCTATTATAATAGCTACCAAAAAATCCATTTTTATTTTGATCCCCAAAAAGTACCCTATAACTTTTAAAGACTGCTATAATATCGGAACGAATAAACTTTCAGACAAAACACACACAGACGAAACTTTGGAACGAACTCAATTCGGGAGAACCCACCGTTCTGTACGCGGATATTCGCCGAAATATTTCGAGCCGATCTGTTCAGAGAAACCAGGGCTTTACACGGGATGTATTCGATTTATATTTCGACTTGTTCTATGGATCATGCAACAAGTTTCTAAGATAAATAAATATGTTAATGTAAATATTTCTTGTTTTAAGAACAGCGGTCTGCATGAAACTAATCTGTGTACTCCGCATAAGAGCCTTATTGCCCGTTTCTGCATTACAAAGACTCTGTCAAATAACTCGGCAGAACAGACTCCCCAAAACTGGACAGCATAACGTAAATGGGAGTCAACTAACGCATAATATGCAGTTTTTGCTGCACAAACTCCTAATTCATGAGAGGTGGTTCTAATGGCATAAAAACCCGATGCGAGTTTTTTTAAAAGTGGATCCACATGAGATTAGAATTTCAAATCCACGTCGATATTTAAACCCAAAAATTTTGTACAGTTTTGGCTTCTACAGTATCCATATCTATTAAAATATCAGGAATATTATATTTAAAAGTAAGTATTTTTGTTTTTTAAAATTTAATGACAGAAAATTGGCAGTGCACCATGTTTTAAAGGATTTTAGGTCATTACTAATATTTGCATAAAGAATATTGACGTCTTTATTATGCCACAAGATAGTAGTATCGTCAGCAAATAGAGTGAAGCTTCCTGAGATATTTAACTTACCTAAATCATTGATATAAATTAAAAACAGGGTGGGCCCAAGAATAGAACCTTGAGGGACACCCCACTTTATGTCACTTGTGTTCGAGTCTGAAACAGTTCGGATTCTGTTTGCTAAATGCGAGTTCCATGTTAACTTGCTGTCAAAGGTGAGACCTAGGTACTTCACCTGTGTTGCAAAGTTTAGTTTTGTGTTTAGTAGTTCTGGAGGTTTTAATTTCATTTTTATAATTTTCCTGGTGAAAATGACCATTTCTGTTTTCTTATGATTGACAGACAGTTAATAGTACTTGCACCTTGCATTCTTTTGCAGAGTATGTTTTGCAGAGTGACTGTCATTATTGAGGCAGCTGATGAGGATGTCAAAAAACATATTCCACAGTAGAGGTGATAGCACTCCTCCCTGTGGGCATCCCCTCACTTCTTTTACACTTATGTATACTGCTTGCTTTGAGAGCATGTTATGTATCTACCCACTAACCATCTGTGGAACATTCCTGTTGGTTAGTGTATTATCTTTTGGAATGTGGTTTTATCAAAAGCACCTTCTTTGTCTATGAAAACACCAAAGGTGGACTCCTTATTGTCCAGGGATCTCTCTATCCTGCCAGCAAGTAGATGAAGGGCTGAATCAGTAGATCTGCCTGGGGTGTATGTATGTTGGTTTGGGTGTAGTGGTGTTGTTGTAATTACCGCATTCCTTATGTACCTTTCGCATAGCCTTTCCAATGTCTTCATGGAAAACGATGTCAGACTAATTGGTCGGTATGTTTTTGGGCCAGTGTAATACATCCTTTTAGGTATGGGTATGAATACTACTTTTACCTCTCTCCATTTTTTGGGGATAAACCTCTAAACCAACGAGAATCTGAATATACCCACGCGGTGCATTGTAAGTTCTTCCAGACCCCACTAAAGTAGGGCTGGATAAATACCGTCAGGTCATGGCGATTTAAATAGAGAGAAGCTGTATATTGCCCTTCTAATTTTTTTCCTCGTCTACAATGTGTTTAGCAGTTTGCCAGTCATATACAGATGGGTTGTGTTTTTCCTCTGTCCAGTTGGCCACGTCTTCGATGTTGACAGTTTTCGTGCCATTCTCTTTGGTTAGTGTACCAATGCTTTGGTGTGGATCTTCTGTAGAGCTTTCTGAAGCCTCACTGCCAGACGGAAACCTTCAATTTCTTCGCTGTAGGATCTCCATGCATCTCTCTGTTTTTGTCTGGCGATTTTTTTGTTTTCTCTGAGGTGAGATTTGTAAGTATACTAGTACTCTTTGAGTTCTGTGATTATTGATTTATTAAAGGATTTCCCAGATATCTTCCTGAGGTGATCCAACTTGTGAAACCACCATGCGGTAGTCGTCTGATTGTGTTGGACCAGCGTGAGTTACTTATGAAAATAACTGTTTAGTAACGAAAATTATTGTTTCTTGTACATTTTAAAGAAAACTGAATAATACACAACAAATCAAATGAAACGACCTAACCTG